CCTCCAAGTACAAACTCCATGAGCAACCTATTCTGGTGGTGTTGACCTCACTCACTTGGAGGGCCTTCGCCCAGGAATCATGGCAGTGCTGCCTTTGTCCTGCTGGCAGAGCCTCCTCTATGGATTCTTTGACCCAGACACTAAGATTAGAGATACAAACTTAAGCAGCACGCATGTACAAATTCCATTGCTATCCAAACACTAAAGCATTGCATGGCTACCTACCCCCCTCCAAACTAAATACAAGATAGAACAAGCACCTCAATTGATAGGGGCACTGGCTCATCTTCTAAATCTGAATCTGTTTCATCTGTATCTTCAAATCCCTCAACTACCTCTCCTGGTTTAGGGATATATTCCAAATCTTCAGTGTGTCTACCCTTTGTGCTTCACTTTTTTGCCTTTGGAGACATAGGTTTGGGCCCACACGTATTCCAAGTTCTTCCATCTTTCTATGATTCCTTGTGATTTTTGCATCTCGGTCTCGTTCATAAGCAGTTAGTTGCTGTTCATCTAGATTACAAAGGCATTTATTAACTAAAGCTTCTACGGAATGTCAACACAATAGAGCAAAGTATGCAAATAAGCGCCTAACTAGTAACTACAGCTTATACGGAAGTCATTAATCCAATAAAGCACATGTCAGCTACACTCAACTATAGGAAATATGTAACCCCATCGCTATCTACATATCCTTGGTTCAGCCACTATAGCAGAGCACACATCATAAAAGGAATTTGGTTACCTCTTCCTCCATGTTCCTTGGCTTTGCTTTGTCGTCGGCACCGCCTTCCTATCATTGTGGTCGCCGAGCTGGTGCGGCCGGCGTTGATGAAGGGGTACCAGATCTAGCTCCGGCTAGGGATCAGATCTGGTCAGTTGTGATAGCTGCTGAGCTAGGTAGGGGATCTAGATCTGGCTTGTACCATCATCGAGGTGGTCCTTCTGCTGTCAGCAGATCGACCTACTATCAACGAATCGAAGGGGATTCGGCTCTGGCTAGGGTTTGAAAATGTATGGAGAGTGGAGAGGGAGTCGAGCTACTATTCTGATGGCGCCTAGGGTCTAGAGCGGGGTAGCTGGAGAGTGGAGAGGGAGGCCATGGGACTAGGATTTGGAGCTAGAGGAGAGACGGTGCAGCTGGAGAATGAAGATGGAGACGGAGACGATGACTTTTTGCACTTTTATGTGGCCATCACACTACCACAAATTCCCTTGTCTGAAATCGATGGCGTGGTAAACCTATTTTCTGCACGGAGGGCAAAAGAGAGATATGTAATTTTCGGTGCGTGTTGACGGGACTGCTCAGTGCGGTGCAAAATCAAAATTTTGAGCAGGCAGACATCCCCCGTATGCTCAACAGAGACTGGAATTTATTCCGTGTTTTAATAGGAAATGATTACGACAAAATGTTGTACTTACCTAATATCTATCTTTTCATTTTTTTTCTCTTGTGCACCTGTTTATATATCCGATCAGTTAGTTGTTGCCTTTTTAGTTTTTTCATAATATAAGTAAACATAAAACTAAAAGAGGATGATAATAAACAATTAAAAGATCCATGAATTTGACACCTATAAATTACCAACAAAGAAAAAATAAACCTGCTCGCTGCAGCTTATTGCGCTGTAACTAGCGATTTTGTGTGTGTGTGACTGTGCAGCTGTTTGAACTAAGGCCTATAATTAGGAAGCAAGGGGAAGGCACGCCCAGGGATGGGAAAGCTTTCAAAAAAACTAAATGGGTTATTCAAATGATATCCCTATGGATTTCCCACCCTGGAAAAAGTAGTCATGGATTCGAAGCTGCTTTGAGTTTTCAGAGAAGAGAAAAAATTAAAGCATCCTCCTGCTGGCTAGTGCTGGATTCGCTAACTCACCAGTACTCTGGATCCTCCTCCTCGCTGGAGTCGCAGTTGGTGCTGTACTTTCCATCGCTCGAGTATGTTCCCATTGTTTGTGAGCCTCGAGACGATCGCCAACTCCGTCTTAGCGAAGGTGAACGTGGATGACAACATCTTGCACACCTGCCTCGACCCTTGATCTGTGGGATGTATCAGTAGTACAAGTCATGACTAGGTTTGGTCTATGGGAGGACCGTATGTGAAGTCTTATTTGCATGCATGTCTGTGTTAGCTTTTGTTGAACTTTGTATTAGGTTGGTTAAACTATTGAGCGTGGTATAGCTCAGGTCCTTTGGTCATTTGGTAACTGGTTATACTAACAGTGTTCGCCCTTTCTGATCAGAGGACGTGGGTGTATAGATGTTGAAATTTTCTGGACCCCAAGACAGTTTGATTCTATAAAATATAGATGATTTGGATCACTATGAAATATAGGGGCCATCCAACTAGTCCATAGAACCCAGCTACCAGGGGCTAACAACTAGTTCTAGTCTATAGAACCCAACAATTAGTTCAGGATACAAACTGGTATGGACTAATAACACAACTAATTGGCTGATTTTTTATCCATGGCTAACTAGTCAGAGTCCATCCAAACAGGGCCTAAGACAGTCTGATACTAAAGAAATCTTGACAGACCGGATCATAATTTTGATGAAACAACAAAATACAGATCATGTCAATTCTTGCGCCGTATGTGGGGTCATGGGCATGTAGGCGCATGCGTGTAGGTCATGGGGTCGTTCACAACCCGCAAACTATATTATAGCAGAGACAAGGGGTGAGAGGAAAGCTCTCTAGAGCTCCTGCTTCAGTTCCATCCCAAAGCTTTTGCCCTCCACCCTACTACTGGGCATCTTTGATCTTTGTTTTTTTTTCTACATATTGTTTTCTTTTTTACATAGATCATGGATAACTATGATCATTCTTGGGACATGCCTATGTATCGCTATGTCATTCGTGGACTTCATGTTCCCCATGGCCTACAAACAAGGGTTGTAGTGCTTGCAGTGCATTCTAACTTTTACAGTAGGTGGTACATTGTTTCTGTAGTTGTTCATCAAGTTTTTGGCCATTGAAACTACCGTCCTGCTGAAGATCATCATGGACCCTATGTGTTTGTTGCGGTTCATTCAAATGTAGATCTCTAGACTTTGCTTTCATACCACTATGAGTTCTGTGGTGCAGAAGTATTTTCTCATCGTATCCGTTATCTTACAATCCGTCCGAATGATCCAGAGATTGGTGGAGTTCGTGTAGTTCCTTTCAACTAAGCAGTAGTAACATGGTAAGATGATGTTAATGTTTAGTATCTACGGCATTAGAGATATGCCCTTGTTCTCTGTTTCTGAAATAGGTGTGATGTTCAAGTATCTGATAACACTGATGTTCTGATTTGTGTTTTCAGTGTTCACTTGAGACAATTGTGATGTTCCTTAGTTTATCTTGTTGTAATAATATCCATGTAAATGGACTTTTGTTGAACTTTGTATTAGGTTGGTTAAACTCTGTTGACCAAATATATTTAGACAAGTACAATATTGATTAAATGACGTTTACCTATTTCTTGTAAATCGTATGCACGCCACATAATTCGAGGCATTCAAGTCTCAAGCATGTCATGGTGGTCAAAAGCTCCTTTTCTTGATTCCTTCTTGTGTCCAGCTTTCCTGCCACATTCACTTCACTCTCGACAACCATGCAAGGTCTATAGCATTGCATCAATCTGCTTACTCCCCCCTTCCTTTACCCGTTTGCATTTTCCCAATCGTGTTCCCTAGTGGTTATAGGATCTGGATAAAGGTAATGTGCTCCATATCAAACCGTACTATTTGTATGAACTTATTACTATGTCTACTAACCTCATTGCTTCCCCCCTTTCTTCGGTTGTCATTTGTTCTAACCGAAATCATGTTTACAGATGGTAACTACTTACCATACCACGGATGTGTACTCTACAACAAACGATGTGTTTTGGCAGCTAGGTGTGGAACCAAGAGAACATAACAAGTTGCTTGTGACTTGGGGGTGTCGTGTACATGACCGAGCTGCGTGATGCCTAATCGTTGAAGCTGCTGTTCGTGCGGTTGTTGGGCAACAACATATTACCAGAGTTGTTGAAGACCATGATTCTAGATAAATCTTTGTGCTTTGTAGCACTATTGCGGATGCCCATCGACTCTCTGACTACAGTGTCGACGTCAGTGGAGACTGCATCATTTTCAAGATGGTTCACTGTCTCAACTTGATCGGAAGTCCTTATGACCTCAACTATCTCAACAAGACCAAACTGATTCAATGACATTGAGATTTTTTGTGCTTTGGGTACTGTTCGTTGTCTTGTATCAGTAGTACTAGTAGTAGTAGCCATGACTGGCTTTGATCTGTGGGATAGCGTGAAGTCATGTAGTGTATGTGTTGAGCTCATGTAGTACGAACCCTTGCTAATATATGTTGTGTTATTTGCATGTCTGTGTCAAACTTTGTTAAACTTGCCAGAACCTTGAACTGAAGAGCAAGTCTAGCCTTAATCTAATGCAGAAAAGAAGAGCCATTGGTGCTAAAATGTTACTGAACAAGCAAGAAAGTCCACCTACTGTTTTTTGAACGCCTTGGACAGTGAAGATGCTGTAGTGGATGAAGTTTCCTCAGTTGGTTTCTATCTGTTTTTTTATTGCCTTGGGTGTCTGGCCTGCTGGCACAAAATCATGTATTTTATGTGTTAAGCACATGTACGAGAAGGCAACCACACATTTCTCGTGGTTTAGATCTATAGAGGGAATTAGAGAGCTCTGAGAAGGAAGGATGGAGTTGCGGACGAGATCTTGGCGGTTAGAGCGACAGAGCGGAGAAAGGGACAGGGCGAAGATTTACTCAAAGATTATGAATTTTGACCAAATATATATATAGAAGTATGATGCATAATAAGTATTTTATACAACAAAAAACAATGAGGTTATAATCTATAATCTTCTTTGGTGAAGTGTGAGAGAAATCTCTGCACTACTGGGTCAAGATACGTAGACAAATCACGTCGGCACATCGGGCAGGTGGAGCTCCTACCAAACCACATGGTGATGCACTTGCGGTGAAATGCATGGCCACAACCGAGCATTTCCAGAGCATGGTTGGCCGCATGATTAGATGTTTCTTCCTACAAGCACATGCTGCAGTCCTGACACCCTGCTGTCGCCACCTCCGCGCAGAGCATCAAGAGTGCCTTAGACGTGATGAACTTGAATTGTTCATCGACCGAAAGCTCAAGCATGGTGTGGGCGATGCAGCCATCCTGGTAGGCCTCGCACGCCAGGGCTATGAGTTCAGGAACCTCACGCTCGGGAAGGATGTCCTCCTATTTCTTGTCGGTGAGGTTGAGTTGCTGCAGCCGCATGAATGTCCTCATCAAGCCGTGGAGGACACCACGAACACCTTCTTGATCGCTGGGGATGCCCACCGCTTTATTCGCCTTCAAGATCCTAGTGGCGCTGCCTCCTTCGTATAGGAGGTACACCGGCTACCAGTGACTGTTGGCTTTGAGGGTCTTGGTCACCGTGCATTCTAGGGTCATAGAGAAACGATGCTTCAACGCCGCTCCCACCAGATGGATCCTTGATGGTGAAGAGTTTCTTTGATGTCATTCTTGACTTGACGTGGTGTTTGAAAGTGGAAAACTAGGCATCAAGATATCTGGCAGAGCTCATGGCGATGGTTACTCTATGGGTCTAGTGGCTTAGTTTGTAGGTATGATTTCAATTGGTTTGGAGTTGGAGCAAGGACGATTGAAAGGGAACCCGGTGTTAAATAGCTACGGGATGAGTGGGGGGACAGTTATGAGATGGAATTTAAGGTGAATCGCTTTGAATGTAGAGGACCTTAGATGGCTGCCAGTAAATGCCGTCCTAGATTTTAGGGGTTGGTCGAACAGTTTCCAATACTGGACATGTTGGTAATATTCTAGTAGAACATCAGATGTGTCCGGCCCGGTTAGATTTACAATGCTCAAACTTTCTTGTGTATGCTGTAAAATTTGAATGGCTATGTGGCTCCTATGTTAGGCATTACATCGACACGAGACTTGATCGGATGAATTCCGTTATGCATGTTTAGCATACTACAGATCATAAAGAGAACTAGAAAGAATCCTGCTGGCAAAACCAACCAACATTGAATTTTACTGGAAACGTAAGAAAGTCCGACAGTTGTATATTTGATCTAGTAGGACACAATATAAAGTGTCATCAGTTTTGAATGTCGTAGCAACTAGTCTGTCCCTCAACTGTTGTGACTGCTTGGATTGGAGTAAAAAAAGTACAGAAATGACCCATCACAACCGTACCAGGCATTCAAGTCTCAAGCATGTCATGGTGGTCAAAAGCTCCTTTTCTCGATTCCTTCTTGTGTCCAGCTTTCCTGCCGCATTCACTTCACTCTCGACAACCATGCAAGGTCTATAGCATTGCATCAATCTGCTTACTCCCCCCTTCCCTTACCCATTTGCATTTTCCCAATCATGTTCCCTAGTGGTTATAGGATCTGGATAAAGGTAATGTGCTCCATATCAAACCGTACTATTTGTATGAACTTATTACTATGTCTACTAACCTCATTGCTTCCCCCCTTTCCTCAGTTGTCATTTGTTCTAACCGAAATCATGTTTACAGATGGTAACTACTTACCATACCACGGATGTGTACTCTACAACAAACGATGTGTTTTGGCAGCTAGGTGTGGAACCTAGAGAACATAACAAGTTGCTTGTGACTTGGGGGTGTCGTGTACATGACCGAGCTGCACGATGCCTAATCGTTGAAGCTGCTGTTCGTGCGGTTGTTGGGCAACAACATATTACCAGAGTTGTTGAAGACCATGATTCTAGATAAATCTTTGTGCTTTGTAGCACTGTTGCGGATGCCCATCGACTCTCTGACTATAGTGTCGATGTCAGTGGAGACTGCATCATTTTCAAGATGGTTCACCGTCTCAACTTGATCGGAAGTCCTTATGACCTCAACTATCTCAACAAGACCAAACCGATTCAATGACATTGAGATTTTTTGTGCTTTGGGTACTATTCGTTGTCCTGTATCAGTAGTACTAGTAGTAGTAGCCATGGCTGGCTTTGATCTGTGGGATAGCATGAAGTCATGTAGTGTATGTGTTGAGCTCATGTAGTACGAACCCTTGCTAATATATGTTGTGTTATTTGCATGTCTGTGTCAAACTTTGTTAAACTTGCCAGAACCTTGAACTGAAGAGCAAGTCTAGACTTAATCTAATGCAGAAAAGAAGAGCCATTGGTTGAAATGTTACTGAACAAGGAAGAAAGTCCGCCTGCTATTTTTTGAACGCCTTGGACAGTGAAGATGCTGTAGTGGATGAAGTTTCCTTAGTTGGTTTCTGTCTATTTTTTATTTCCTTGGGTGTCTGGCCTGCTGGCATGAAGTCATGTATTTTATGTGTTAAGCACATGTACGAGAAGGCAACCACATGTTCCTCGTGGTTTAGATCTATAGAGGGAATCAGAGAGCTCTAAGAAGGAAGGATGGAGTTGAGGATGAGATCTTGGCGGTTAGAGCGACGGAGCGGAGAAAGGGATAGGGCGAAGATTTACTCAAAGATTCTAAATTTTGACCAAATATATATAGAGAAGTATGATGCATAATAAGTATTTTATACAACAAAAAACAATGAGGTTATAATCAATAATCTTCTTTGGTGAAGTGCGAGAGAAATCTCTGCACTACCGGGTCAAGATACGTAGACAAATCACGTCGGCACATCGGGCAAGTGGGGCTCCTGCCAAACCACTTGGTGATGCACTTGTGGTGAAATGCATGGCCGCAACCGAGCATTTCCAGAGCATGGCTAGCCGCAGGATTAGATGTTTCTTCCTACATGCACATGCTGCAGTCTCGACACCCTGCTGGCGCCACCTCCGTGCAGAGCATCAAGAGCGCCTTAGACGTGATGAACTTGAGTTGTTCATTGACCAAAAGCTCTAGCGTGGTGTGGGTGATGCAGCCATCCTGGCAAGCCTCGCGTGCCATGGCCATTAGTTTAGGAACCTCGCGCTTGGGAAGGATGTTCTCCTATTGCTCGTCGGTGAGGTTGAGTTGCTGTAGCTGCGTGAATGTCCTCATCAAGCCATGGAGGACATCACGGACACCTTCCCGATCACCGTGGATGCCCACCGCTTTATTCGCCTTCAAGATCGTAGTGGCGCTACCTCCTTCATATAGGAGGTACACCGGCTGCCAGTGATCGCTGGCTTTATGGGTCTTGGTCACCGTGCATTCTAGGGTCACAGAGAATGATGCTTCAACGCTGCTCCCGCCAGATGGATCTTTGATGGTGAAGAGTTTCTTCGATGTCGTTCTTGACTTAACGCGGTGTTTGAAAGTGGAAAACTAGGCATCGGGATCTCTGGCGAAGCTCATGGATGATGGCTACTCTATGGGTCTAGTGGCTTGTAGCTATGATTTGAATTGTTTTGGAGTTGGAGCAAGGACGATTGAAAGGGAACCGGTGTTAAATAGCTGCGGGATGAGCGGGGGGACAGTTACGAGATGGAATTTAAAGTGAATCGCTTTGAATGTAGAGGACCTTAGACGGCTACCAGTAAATGCCATCCCGGATTTTAGGGGTTGGTCGAACAGTTTCCAATACTAGACATGTTGGTAATATTCTAGTAGAACATGAGATGTGTCCATCCCGGTTAGATTTACAATGCTCGGACTTTCTTGTGTGTGCTGTAAAATTTGAATGGCTATGTGGCTCCTACGTTAGGCATTACATCGACGCAAGACTTGATCGGATGAATTCTGTTAAGCATGTTTAGCATACTACAGATTAGAAAGAGAACCAGAAAGAAACCTGCAGGCAAAACCAACCAATATTGAATTTTACTGCGAACACAAGAAAGTCCGGCCACTGCATATTTGATCTCGTAGGACACAGTATAAAGGGTCGTCAGTTTTGAATGTTGTAGTAACTAGTCTACCCCTTTGACTGCTGTGGACTGCTTGGATTGAGTCAAATAAAAGTACAAAAAGACCCATCACAACCGCTTGTGCATTCAAGTCTCAAGCGTGTCATGGTGGTCAAAAGCTCCTTTTCTCAAGTATGAAGTCATGTTAATCATTTGTAGTTAGAACTAATATGTATTGGTAGTAGTTGGATGACACTGAGTAGTGGGATTGCACTGCTCTCCTCTTATTTGCATGTATTAGATAAAATTTGTTGAACCTACAAGAACCATGCTGCAACGAGTTCATACGAGCAAGTCTCGTTTTTCCTCTTTTTCCTGTGATGCTTCTTACTATGTCATTTACAATTTTAAGTCTGGCCCTGTTTTTAAATCTAGGTTGGCGTGTAGGATTGTTTGGCCACTAAGAAACAACACGGGCCGTACTTTAGTGGACCATGCAACAAGATTATGGAATCTAAAGCACCCAATCTTGAAGGCCACTACATATTTGATCTGAAGGACACTGCATATTTCATTGCTACGATTCACTTTCCCAAGACACGTTTACACGGACGCCTAGAACTCGAGCGAGGTGCCGTTTGGTTCCTCAAGAAAGAACCGTCGCATTGGACGATTCACTTCCTTGAGAAAGAACGTGGAGTTTCTACCTGCATAAACCGCTGGCCCTAGTTCCCCAGTGCTTTCCGCCTTGCCGTTGTCACGCCTTCATACTCTACTCTGATGTCGCATCCGTCATCATTCGTCATGCGTGCGCTCCAACTCTGCTTCTTCCTCGGCTACGTCGTGATGGATCGGCTCTCGACAGAACTGGCCAAGGACATTGCTGGCTATGCGCTGAGCAGTCATATGCCCCCATGGATGACCTTGCCGGCCTACAGGCAACCTGCTCGGACATGCGCAGGGTGTGCAGCACCGCCAAAGTCGGGTGGCGCATACCACTACGCTGGGTGCTGCAGCATCAAGGTTTATGTTAGTCCTACTACTATGACGCTGACTATTGTGCCCTGCTCACCACTATGCTACATAGGGTGGGCAACACGGAGGCTCGCTTCGCTGGCGGCTTGCATCCCGTGATTCGTGGATGCTGCAGGTCATTGATGCCACCGATGGAATGGCTTCAGCACTCTGCCGAAGCAGGCTATAAACTTGGTATGTATGTCTCACCTCGTGCTCTAATCCAATGCCGTAGTAGCAATGACGACATTGCCCGGTGCTCATTGAGGGAGCTTGAAGGTGCTAACGAAGCGGGGCGGCTACACTTGCCATGGGAGAACCAGACTGTGATCGTAGTTCCACCAAGGCGATGTCTTGGCAGTTGGAGGACATGGTGCCACATGATGTAGTGCCCATTCTTCTACTTCCCATTTTTCACTAGGACGGGCATCATCGATGTATATAGCAACAACAGCTATGGCGAGCTTTGTTGATTTTAAGAATGAGACTTGTGGTCTAGGTTTTTACAAATGAGGAGTGTAGGATCTCACGGAGTGCTATAAGTTATTCACATCAGTGTG